CTACTAATTATCAACGTTATCTCCGTTACTTTCGATATAGTTTCCACATCCTGACCCTGCATCAGTCTTGGAGTGTTCACTAATGATTCTACATAGCGTAAGCTTGGGCTCAGTATCGGGGGTAAGCCAGCACTCAGCCTCAGGTAACTCAACATTGTATGTCGTATGTCTTCAGCAGAGTCAACGGTTGCGCACAATCTGGTGGCAATAAAAAGACATTCAAGTCTTATTCTCCGGCTCCAACAATTTCCGCCTCACTCCACCCTGTGTCACACGAGCACTTATACCTTTTAAGCATGATAAAAACATAGCAAGGTAGAACCGTTCTCTCAATTTGTCGGCCATGATTTTTTTTTGAAATTTACCAACATTTTAAAATCATATAAAAGTGAAAATAAAAAATTGAAATTGTTCGAAATTGTTGTTGCTTGAGATTGAAAATGAAAATGTGTGTGTGAGTTTGTGAGTAAATTTAAATATTAAATTGTTTGGAAACGTCAAGAATTTTAAAAGTGCCTCTCAGCGGTTCTACCTTACTATATTTATACCCGAGCGCACTTGTGCACAAGGGTATATTAATTTTGATCACATAACGGTTGTTTGTAACAGCCAAAACGAATCGAGATAGATATAGACAAATGTATACATAAATGATCAGAATGAAAAGAGAAATCGATTAAGCCATGTCTGTCTGTCCGTCTGTCCGTCCGTCCGTTGGTATGTAGGTTTCTGTTAATCCAAGGTAGGTAGGTATATTTTAGTAACTACTGAAGATTATTCACTCAATATATATATGTACAACAATTTTTAGACGAAAAATAAGAATATTATAAACTTTTCGAAAATGGGCGTAGCCATTACGGTATGGTTACATGTGTATATCTTGGTAACCGCTGCACCAATTTCTTCCAACCTTGGCAAAGTTGTAGGCCTTGATACAGCATACTAAATGGCCGAAAATTTAAAAAATCGGACAATAACCACGCCCACTTCCCATATAACGGTAATTTAGAGAAATACAAAATCTTCGATAAATCAGTAAATATTAAAGCTAATTTATTCAAAATTGATGCTTGCAACAATTCTTTACCAAGATATACGTTTATGGTAAAATTTTAGAAAATGGGCGTGGCACCGCCCACTTATGATCACATATATTTATATCGGTAACCGTTCTACCCAATTGTACTAAACTCGGTATTTTTATTGTGCTTGCCACATAAAAGCAAAACGTTGAAAATTATTGACATCGGACTAAAATTACGGCCGCTTTTCATATAACGGTAAATTTCAAAAATGCTTGAAACTGCTATATTTTGAAATTTAAGGACGCCAATTTACTCAAAATTGATACACCCCGGCTTACCATCTAGCGGTAGCTTTCGGAAAGGTGAAAAAACATATATTTAATACTTGCGCCGGGTATTTAATGTTCGGCTCCGCCCGAACTTAGACTTTCTTACTTGTTTTATCATGCTTTTAAGCCTACAGAAATCTACCCTTATATATTTAGGCATGATTCAATAATCATAATATAATAATATAACATAATATATAATCATGATATTTAGGTTTATAAGGTTTTAAAATTTTTCATTTTACATATTTATACCGTCAATAGCAGACTGCCTATATTATTTCTTAATGTGAAATGTCATTTGCCTGTGAATTAATTTCTTTTTTTTTAAGTGAAACTGGCTGCAACGGACGGATGAACAGCAATATGCAGACGAATACGAAGAAGACTACAAATATGAATTCAAAAATATGACGACCAAAACGAGGGCGAAGACGGATACGAAGACCACAGTGAAGGCCAAGAAGATTGCGAATAGACAAATACGAATACGAGGTCAAATAAGAAGTCGCTTACGAAGATGAATACAAATACGACTAC